GCGGGAGCATTGCATAAAAGAAGGGGTTGTGTGATTAAAAGTTAGTTCAGTTCTGCTCCTGATACTGTGTGTTGTCCAGTTATTGGGAAAGGTGATGGGATATTATGGGATTGTCTTGCTGATTGTGCTTGCTACGCTGTTGGATTATTCCATTACTGTGGATGTTTCTCCTGGGGTCACTACTTGTTCCTGAGCCACACCTGAAATAGTCTGTGAGAGACCAGCGTTCCGTTACACAAGAGTACTGCAGTATGCAAAGATACGTTTTTTTTTTTTGACTAATATAAAAAAAGGTATCATTGCCTACTGCAATACTCTGGTATTGCTTCAGACCTGAGGAAGAGAGAAAAACGCTTGAAAACGTGTCTTTGAAATATTATGTTAGTCCAATAAAAAAGGTATTTCATACTGCAATACTCTGGTATTTTGGTATCAAATGTGTGTGTGTGTGTGTGTATATATATATATATATAGATATGGGCACAGTGTAGTGACACTTTCATTGCATTCCTCTCAAATATTAGCATAATTAATTCTTGGTGGTCAGGGGCATCAGCATGGGGGAATATGGATACATCTGGGAGTGTTTCAGAGTTTCAAATTACAGAGAGACATGTGCATAATGTGTCGTCCAGTTTAATATGTCTGACGTGTACAAGGCCTTTTTAGGGCCCTACATCATAGGAAGTCCCTCTGGTGGCCGTCTGAGTGAGGTATTCCTATCAATCAATGTAAACACTGTATTTTATCTGAAAATACGGTGTTTACATTAGATTGTCTGCAGGGAGCTATAGATCTCACCTGAACAAATACAATAAGCTGTAGTTGTTCAGGTGACTATAGTGTCCCTTTAACAAATATATTGTTTAACTGCATATACTGTAAATGGGCATTACACTGAGATGCAGATATTTCTTTTACTTTTTGTTGCCATTTGTATGCTGTATAGCTAGTAATGCCTTCGGGATCCTTGCAAATACCTACAAGCAAGGTAATTGGCCATTTTATTTATCTATTTTTATCACAATTACTGTATGTGAGAAAAAAATATATTTTTGCTAACATTATAGACTTGGCATATTGCAAGATTAGGGATACTGTATCCTGTCTAAAATGTACAAATTATGTAAATTTACTTAGTTTCAATTTTTAAGCTTTTTTTTTTTTTTTTAATCTACGGGCTCTGTACATCTGATTGCTCCGCTATTTGCAGGGATAGTAGCTGGGACCAGGAGCTATTTAGGGATATATTGTGTGGGGGGTATTTTATGTCATTGCTATGTTTTGGGGTATTTTTATGCTTAATGTTCATTATGCACAGTCGTACTGGAGTGTTCCAGGGCGGGGTCCATGTTTTGTATAAATTGGCTGTACTTTAAAGATATTCCTGTTGTACCGTTCATCAATTTGATGTTTGGGTAGCTAAGAGCTCCGATCACTGTTTCACTTGGGATTTGAGGAGACTTATAACAGAAGTACTCAGTCGAAATATATAGGGGATCTGTTACAGCCCAGTCTTTATAGTGCCACCAGTGCTGTCACTTACAATGAGTAATGTTCCAAGGGGATAGTAGTTAGATTTTATTTTCATGGGACATTTGTTCCAGGAAGACTAGTTCTCAACCTGGACTAGTGCTAATGGCTCTTAAAAAGCCTGTTTAGGCATCTTCATGATTACCTAACAGATGGAAATGCAAAAATGAATTGAAGCAAGCATAGGATTAGAAATCAGTTTTTATTCATGGCCCCCAAAGTATCTAGTAAGAATAGAACAGATAGGACCACTGGTAACTGCTTCTTTTAGACTTTTGAATTACAACCATATTTGGTGGCAACTCACAAAGAATACTGAAAACAATCTACTGTTTGTGTCTATGTTTCAAAATGATTTCCAAAAGGAGTAAATGCTAATAAAAATAACCAACATGCAGCTGAAAATACAAGAAAATGCACGCAAGCAAAATTCACTGCTATGATATTAAATGAATGTTTGCAAACCAAGATTATCTGCTGGGGGTCATGCAAATAAAGCACGCAGCCTGCTCTCCAGCACTGAACAGAGTTGTCATCATAAAAGCTTGATCAACTTCACAACAAGACATATATTTCTTAACAGAGCTAACATGCATTCTGCAAAACGATCTCTGTGTATAGAAATGTCAAAAGAAGATAGATTAGGTACTGTTTGGTTTTAAAATCGTTCCATATTTGTTTGTTTGAGCTCAGTGAAATTTTAATATTCCCTTAATGAGGAGATGAAATGTGAAATCAAACTTTGATTGTATGATAACAAATTAAGAGGGGGTAAATGCGTAGGCTGAAGATAATAATATACATGGCATACATAAATACCAGAAATACACAAAGTCAAATATAAGCTAAGGTCAATATCAGGGCAGAAACCATGATAGGGCACTAAATAAGGGCCAAATAAGCTTTATATAGGTTTACGCAATACCTGATTGGCCCATGTCATCTCTGCGACTACAAGTATGATAATGGGGTCAACTAGATGATGTGCTCACTTTAAGGGTGGGTATGATGTCCCCTAATTTGAACTTAAAGAGGCCAGTGTCCTATAAACTGCAGGGAAAAAGTGACTGTCTATTTGGATTCGGCCCAACAGTTCAATTACCATTCCCGAGCAAAAAAGACCTCAAGAAACAATAAACAAGTTGACTACCTCTATCAGATATAAACCCGTCTACAACCATGAGAATAACTGTGAGTCCATTAGAAGGGGGAACATCAACTATAAAATCAATAGATATACTAATTAGACCAATGCTTAGTGGGTATAGGCAATGGTTGGGGAAGACTACATGGTACTCTGTGTATACGCTTATTAGCTGCACAAACATCACAACCTTGGACATATCCCCTAATAGATGGTCACCAGAAATCACGAGATATAAGGGCAGTTGTTTCAGTGATACAAGGATGTCTTGCAGATTTGCTCTCATGAAACAAGGACATAACTTATTTTCTGACTTCTGGTATAACATATAATCTATCTTTTGGTTTATTCTCAGGGGATTCGTCCTATTTAGATTTGATTAGATGTTTTAATAAAAAAGCATAAAATGGAAAGTAATGTTGTAACTAAATTCTTTCCAGAGGAATGGTAAAACTCTTCGTACCCTTGTCGTCTTCAATCATATCAAATTGTCTAGACAAAGCATTGGCTTCGGCATTACGAGGTTCAGGTCTATAGGTGATTATTTCCAGAGAAATTATAAAACTCTCCTTAACCTTGTCTTCTTCAATCATATCAAATTGTCTAGACAATGCATCAGCTTTGGCGTTACATAGTCCAGGTCTATATATGTTCTCCCTTTTCCCTAGAAACTGTGTTATGTGCAGCATATAACTAGGCGCAGTGACAGTTTTGCTGAATTCTCTATTTAAAAGGAGACTATACTTTGTTGCTGCTATTTTGAAGATTAGTCTTTTTGTTTCAATAATGTAGATACTTATGTATATATGTAGATAGTTTAGTTTCTCCCTCTATATGTGTTTATCCTCAGTTGCAAGTATTTTATGTCTATACTTTTTGTGATGGGAGTTGCACGCCTCTTATTTAATAAAGCTAAATACACTTCCTCATATACATGGAACTTTACTTGTGGGGGAGTCTAGACAGGATATGTATATATTTGTGTATTGTGATTCGTATTTTTTTCGTATTTTTTTTGTGCATTAAGAAATATCATTTTATTTAGGAATCATTTGCTCGCTACTGTATTTGAGCAGTGATCTATCAGTTTGCTATGTAGTGCGCCTTCTCTTCACATGTAATGGGCAGCACTTCCTGTTTTAGCTAGAGAGTTTGCTATATTTTGTTTCTATTTATGCAAAAAGGGTTAAGCCCCAGACCTCACCTGGGAGGTCCACTGCTGCTTGGTCAACTTGATTGACCAATTTTGCTTTTTACTATCTATAGGTGATAAAGAATTTAAACTGAGGAAAAAAGAAGAAAATAGACCATCTAGCCTGTCAGGAATATAGTCTTTTTGCCTCTCCTAAGTATGATAGATTCCTATGAGCAGTCAAAATTATAATAGGATCCTTAGACTTTTCCAGAAGATGTAGGGCTGGACTGGATACAGGGAAATTTCCTGGTGGGCCAGAATACCTTTAGGGTTGTGTGCCGCCACCTAGGGTGGCACACTGCACAGTGCTTCCCTCCTGCCAGTCACTGTACGTAGTCTAGCCAAGTGTATAATGGGTAGAGGATCTTCTCAAGAGTGTACTACGGAGAGAAGATCTTCTCTATCTGGTCTTACAGGAAGTGTTCCCAGTGAGCACATCCTGGTAGACTGGATACAGGATACAGAAGATCCGCTACATTCAGGTCAGCAGACACAGGAGAGGAGGGGGAAAATGAGACACATAGAGGGGCGATGGGGGGGGGAGGGCAGAATGAGAGATCTTGAGAGGCTGGTAGGTGAAATGAGACACATGGAGGGGATGGAAAGGAATGATAGACATGGAAAGGTTGGGGGGAAATGGCACACATGGGGCTGTGAGGGGTAGAGGAGACCCATATAGGGGCTAAGGGGATATGAGACACATGGAGGAACTTTGGGGAATGAGACACATGAATGGGCTTGGGGGGAATAAGACACATGGAGGGGATGAGGATGATGAGAAACATGAAGAGGCTGGTGGGGGGGGAAGCAGACCCATATAGGGGCTGGGAGGATATGAGACACATGGAGAAGCTAGGGGAAAAGAGACACACAGAAGGGCTTGGGAAGGGGAAAAAGAGAAACACAGAGGGGCTGGCAGGGCAGAGACACACATAGGGGCTGGGGAAGGGGAGAAAGAGACAAAAGGACTGGGTGTCACGGTAGTATACCCCAACACACAAGAATAGTCCAACGAGAGACAAGAAAACAAAATACATCTTACCAGACCTTAGAATAGAGATGTCGCGAACCGTTCGCAAACTTTGCGCGAGCGGTTCGCCACAAACCGTTCGCGGCGAACTCCGGTCAGCTGACACAGCCCAGCCAATCTCCAGCAGACCCTCCCTCCCAGACCCTCCCACCTCCTGGACAGCATCCATGTTGAAGGCAGCTTCAACATGGATGCTGTCCAGGAGGTGGGAGGGTCTGGGAGGGAGGGTCTGCTGGAGATTGGCTGGGCTGTGTCAGCTGACCGGAGTTCGCCACGAACGGTTCGTGGCGAACCGTGGCGAACCGTGGCGAACGGTTCGTGGCGAACCGTGGCGAACCGCTCGCGCAAAGTTCGCGAACGGTTCGCGACATCTCTACCTTAGAATGGCCGGACTTAGACATGGACAGGAAAAGACAGAGTCGAGAACAAGTTGAGGTCAAGGGAACAGAGAGACAGCGTAAACAAGAACTAGCCAAGGTCTGGTACACAGGAGTCAGGAAACCGGCGAACAAGACAAAGCAGGGATAAAAAGAAAAAGGGAGTCAGGTACAAAGCCAAGGTCAAGCACGAAAAAACACTACTACACGAAGCAAGCACTAAAGGGAACTGAATAAGAAACCACGATAGGGCAGGGAGTTAAGGGAAAGGTGAGTATAAATACCTATTAGTTTAAGTTGATTGGCCCTTGTCATATCCACGCCCCCAAAATATGAGTGTATGGGGAATGTGGAATGACATGGGCCAGTGGGAGAACATTTTTATTTTTTGCTCCCACTGTCCCTTTAAAAGCGCCCCCGCTATGTGCGGTGCGCTCCCAGTGCCAGGCGTGTCACGTGGCTGCTTCTCGCGGTCAGTGCACGCCTTCCCATTGGACGAGCCGCACGCGACTCGTCCAGTTGCAGGACCGTGTGCGGCGGGGAAGGAGGGCCTTGCCCGGCCCCTGGAAAGGGTAAGTACCGCTACACTGGGGCAAAGAGACACATAAAAGGGGCTTGGTGGAAAGAGACATACAGAGGGGCTGGAGAAGGGTAAGAAGATACAGACAAAGTGACTGAGAGGAAGTAAGAGATACACAAAGGGGACTTTTAAGAGACACACAAGAGGGGTATTAGACACATAAATAGTAAGAATGGGGGACATGATACGCTAAAGCGGGTAAGACAATCAAAAGAGGGAATATGAAACACAAAAGGGGGCAAGAAATTCAAAAGAGGGATTAAGAGAAACAGAAGTGAATGTGCATATTTTTTTGGGGGGGTGGGGGGAAGAATTGATTGACAGGTGATAGAAAGGTCTCTTATTAACCCCTTAAGGACACAGCTTCAAAAGCCATTTTTGCTTTTTTTTCTTTGTGTTCAAAAGCAATTTACATCTCTGTCATTTATTGAACCAACACATAATATATACCGTTTTTTAGAGGGCAAACAGGGCTTTGATTTTATGTCACATATACATAGATACATTTTCATTCATTATAACAAAAATACCAAAAAATGGGGAAAAAAAACAAAAACATAAATTTTTGGGGGGCGGGGCCGGACCGCCAGGCTGAATGGACAAAAATGGAGTAGCTCCTGTAAAAACCTCCAGTTTTAGCCCCAAAAAAACAGCATCACGCATACCTGACAACTGGCTGCCGAGCACCGGTGCAAGAGGCCACCCTGGTCCTGAGGAGAGGCTTGCTGAGCAGTTTTAGTCCCTCGGAGGGGCGATCCAAGTCACACGATGCGGACCGCTCGGGCGGTGAGCGAGGTGGACGGCCGCTGCCTGGCTATCCTGCCCACCAGTGGTAAGGCAGCAATCCGGGGTTAGGCGGGTCCGGCTCCGTTCCCCCCCCTTTGGACCGGTGGGGGTGATCCCGGTCCCCACCTCGAGACCCATCGGACCATAACAAGGCCGGCGCTTGAAGCTGAGGCAGAGAAAGCCGTTTCCAAAATGGCGGAGACCACATGGCAAGTGACCCTGATAACAGCCGAGCGCACTCACCTCTCCTACAGCCACACAAACAGATCGCCGAACCGGTCAGAGTGAGAACCGAAGGAGTAGGTGCTAAGATCCCATGAGCAGAGCAGCAGCACAACAAAAACAAAAAGCACTATCACTGCATGCTGGTTTACCCCACCATACTAAACAGCGCACCGAGAGGGAGTCGAAATGCACGGACTGATCATCCACAGCAGACGGGATGCCTGTGATCTCTCACCAGCACAAGACAAACACTTGATAGACCAGCTAACAAGAGAATATCAGGAGTGCAGCAGGCACCTAAGTTTCTCCCATCAAAGAAACTATCCTCACTGAATAAAGACTGGTCTCCTGACAGGCAAACACAGACCCTTCGCCTGACCGACGTGGAAACCACCTGGGGTGGACATTTTACAGTCTAATCATAGGGTTAAGGCTGCTTTCGAGTTTAATATAGCCACTCATGCACTAGCCCAGTATAACCTGCAACCACTCTCACAAAGCTTAGGCAGCTAAGAAAGATGTCTACTCACTATTGTAATCAGCCTAATAAGAAGCTTATTATCAACCACTTGAATGGTAATGTATTAAGCAGGGGAAAAATATACATACTCATTTACTGCAGCCATTAGAATGTAACTGAGGTTAGCTTAAACAGTCAGTAAACTCACTAACAAGCAACGACAATCTACTTATGTGTGTAAGCATAGTCTAATTAATATATATGAATGCTACTCTAGTACTCTAAGCGTGATATTTTATAAAATTAAATGTGCTGACAACTCCGTCATGATATTGTATACCAATGTAAAGCTTGTACTCGTTGTCGTGGCGCTACAGGCCTGTTTGTAAAAGTATGCACAAGAAAAATAAAGAATTTAAAAAAAAAAAAAAAAATACATTTTTTCACAGTTTTGGCAATAATAGCGTGTGCATAATATGTCCAGTTTAGAAAAAGTGATTCAAAATAAATTCATTTATGTGTCTTGATTTATGGAGTACATAACATGTATAGGATTTCAGCTTATTTTGAAAGTTACTGGTCACAAAATAAAAGGACTAAAATAAAATTTTAATGTGAAACAATTTTAGAAGTTAGTATGTTTGTCTTCTAGCTTTAGTAGCCACCACAGAAAACAAATTTGTATATATAGTATATATTTATATAAAGTAGACATCACAGGCTATTTACCTAAGGTTAGTTTGACACTTTTTACATAACCATTTCATCGCCAATCTCTGCTAAATATTGGAGTATTTTTTTTTTCTCTTTTTTGGCATATACACATATAACAAGGTTTTTGTAATGTGTTTTTCGTAAAGCTGGTGTATGCTGTCCCTGTACAGAACCCCATATTGTGTTCACATACATCTGCTGAGTATAACGATACCCCCATTTTATGCCTTTGGCACTATTCTGTGAAGCTACAATGCCATATAAGAGACAAGGCTATTTCTATTTCTATAGTTGGAATTTTCGTAGATGGATTTGACAGGCCTATGTCTCATTTTAGGGTATTATAGCATTGTGACTGTTCAAATAACCCCACAAAGGGCTTTCATTTGATAAAGTAGACACCCCAAGGTATCTTATATGGTGTATATTGTGCCTTAAATTGTCACAATTTTTTTCACCAATTACTGTTGCATTTTTGCTGAGTATTTCTTACACTAGATATGTACCACTGTCATAAAAAAAAAAAAATCGTGCTCAGTTACATCTTCTGTAAGAAAACAATATGCCAAATGTATGACATAGACACTATTTTGTGAAGTTACAGTGCTGTAAAAGAGACGTGACAAGTTTAGGTTTCTAAGTGTGAATTTTCGTGGAGGGTTTTGATGCATCCGTGTCCCACTTTGGAGCACTTGAGCAGGCTACATATTCCAACTACACCATAAAGGCATACCATTTCTTATAGAAGACATCCCCGGGTATTTCAAAAGGCATATTTTGAACCTTAGTGTGATATCATTTTCCGCTAGCTTGTACCAAGTGTAGCAGTAGCATTTTTTTGCCTTTTTGACACACAAAGTGAGTTTGCACAGTATATTTTACAAACCTTATGTGTGCTATGACTGTATAATACTTCATATGTTGCTCAGCTATGCCCTGTATGTACCTTTGCCAGATATATGTGGACATTGAGGGGGCACATTTGAGACACAGCCATTCCAGGTTTTTTTCAAACTTTGAATTTTTACGCTGTGTCCATGTCCCATTTTAGAGTATTTTAGCAGGCTATATAATCCAACTACCCCATAAAGGCCTATCATTTCTTGAAGAAGACATTCCAGGGTATTTTAAAAGGCATACTTTGAACCTTAGTGTAGGATAGTGTTTCCACTAGCTTGTACCAACTGTGGTGGTAATAAGCATTTTTTCTGCCTTTTTGACCCACAAAGTGAGTTTGCATGGTATATTTTGCAAAACGTATGTGTGCTACGGCTGTATAATACTTCATATGTTGCTCAGCTATCTCGTCTGAGTACAGCAATACCCCCGAATATACCTTTGCCAGGTATATGTGGATGTTGAAGGGGCACACTTGAGATGCAGCCATTCAAGTTTTTTTTTACTTTGAAGTTTTACTCTGTGTCCATGTTCCATTTTGAAGTAGTTTAGCTGGCTGGTTATTCAAAAGACATATTTTGAATATTAGTGTGGGATTGTTTTTTCGCTAGTATGTCCCAGGTGTAGTGGTAATGAGCATTTTTTTAATGTTTTTTTTTTACTGTTTAAAACTTTTTTACTTTTTAAAACTTATTTTAAAACTTTTTGTTACTTATTACATTTTACAATATTACATTATATATATATATATATATATATATATATATATATATGTAATAAACAGTTAAAATTCGTATCTTGTAATACCTTTTTTATTAGACTAACAGAATTTAACAGAAATTCTGTTAGTCCAATAAAAAGGGTATTACAAGATACAAATTTTAACTGTGTTTTACATCTACATCACTGGACTAATACGGCTACAATCTCTACTTGAACACTATATATATATATATATATATATATATATATACACATACACACACACACACAAACAGACTTTCAGCTGTTTGCAATGAGCAAATCATACAAATATAATTGAAATAGCTCAACACAATGAATGCTTCAAGTGGTTTCCCCAAATTCAACAGAAAATGCAACTTATAATGACTACTTCAGTCTGAAAATTATTCAAGCCGACGAATAGGATAGTTCATAACAGCACAAATACGCAAAACAGGTGTTGTCTCCAGCACACCTGATACAACTAATCAATGGCTTAATTAGCTGCACCAGGTGTACTTGAGCTGGAACACTTGAAATACCTGAACTGACTAGAGATTTGTTGAGTGTCATGTTTGACTGCATGTTATGGCAAATATGGCTAAGACAAAAGAATGGACCACAAAATTAAGAGAAGAGCTCATCACCCATCACAAACAATGAACAGGATACAAAATGATAGCGAATGCACTAAGTATTCCTAGAGACACTGTTGGAAGCTGAATTGAATTTGAATAAACAGTAGTTACACTACCTGTGTGAGACAGAAATAGGAAGTTATCAATGGCTGCAACAAGATTTCTGAGAAGGCAGGTTGTGAAAAACCCTCAAGTGACTGCAAAATACCTGCAGCAAAACTTGATGGCAACAGGCACTGGGGTTTCAGTGAGCACAGTAAGGCGCATATTAAAACACAAAAGGTTTCCATGCCAGAACTCCAAGACGTACACCACTACTAACCCAAAAGCACAAGAAAAGTCAGCTTCCAATATGCTCAAAATCATATACATAAGACACAGAAGTTTTGGGATTCTGTTCTGTGGAGCAATAAAACAAAACTGGAAATTTTTGGCCCAATGGATGAGCTGGAGGAAGAAGAATGAAGCATCCACTAAAAAGAACACTCTGCTTACTGTTAAGCATGGTGGGGGCTCAGTGATGCTCTGGAGCTGCTTTGCATCCTCTGGCACTGGAAACCTGCAGCGTGTGGAAGGCAAGATGGATTCATTGCAGTACCCTAGGAGAAAACATCATACTGTCTTGAGGAAACTGAAGCACGGGGCATTATTGGATCTTCCAACAAGACAATGATCCCAAGCATACCTCAAATTCCACCAAAGCTTGGATGCAGAAGAAGTCCAGGAATATTCTACAGTGGCCATCACAGTCACCTGACTTAAACACCATAGAAAATCTTGGTGTGATTTGAAGAATGCGGGTGTAACATGCAAACAGAAGAATATTACTGAACTGGTGGTCATTGATCATGAGCAATAAGCTAAGATTCCTCAGGAACAATGCCAGAAGCTGGTGTCTGGCTATGCATCTCATTTGCAGGAGGTCATAACAGTATGACGGTGCTCTACTGAGTACCATACCTTGACATGAAGGAGTTGAATCATTTTGAGACTAGAGAAGTTGCATTTTCTATTGAATTTGGGCAAATCACTTGAAGGATTTGTTGAGCTACTTCAATTGCTTTTGTTTGATTTGTTCATTGCAAACAGCTGAACGTCTGGGGATTGAATAATTTTGATTACAACAGTAGTTACTTACTACTATTCCTCACTTTATTTCCTCAGAGCAATATTCTAGGTCATCTAGGTAAGTTCTCGTTTTTGCAATACACATAAAGGTCAATCAAAAGTCACTTTGCGCGATCAGTCATTTACTAGAAAACTTTCTGATTAGTAGGTCCATGTGAATAAAACATGCTAATTAATTAACACTGATACATTTCAGAAATCAGCAAATGAGGGCGGGAATGAGTGTGGATTTACATCTTTCACGTCTCTGCCTTTTTGTTTTAATATTCAACTGAAAAATATCACTATAAATGTTTTATGCACTGAGGGCAGCTTAATATTACCCACAAACTAGAGTTCAAGTTATATGTTCTTTTTTCAATTTCATACAAGGCCACCCGCTGGAAAATCAGCTTTGTCAGACATCAGCATGTACCATAATCCAGTGGTCTGAACTAACAAATTCTGTAATGCTGCCCTGCTCGGAGCACATGTAATACCTGGTGGAGGTATATGCAGCCCAATGTAAATTAAGAGTTAAGATAACAACATTACAAGTAGAACAGATTGTTCTCACAACCTGCTGTTCATAATTAACACATGGCTTCCAAATGCTCCATGCTCCCTGGTATAGAAAGCTCTTTTTATAACCACCTTCTCCAAATGCAACACTTTTCAGACCACATGCAGGGACAGCACCTGTCTGGGCAAGCCTATTCGAGCCAAAATTCTCCAATGCCTGGCTAGTCAAGTGAATGGATAAACAAAGCTTGCCGCTAGTCATTGTCACAAAATCCATATGCCACTGATATAGGTTTACAAGGCAAATTGATTGAGCCTTGAAATTATCATGGGCAACAACAGCAGTGAAAAACAATGACTAAAGTGATCCATGATTGGCCACCGCCAGTGTGTGCTTTACACATATATATTTAAAAAGTACAGCATTAAATGTACTGCTTGTTAAACCATTTTGCCAGTCCCATGTGACACAATATCATGTTATTCAACAGTAATGGTCAAGAAAAAGGGTATAAAAGAATGAGTCTCAGTATACATCAAACATTAGATAAGGGAAGGAATTTTGGTAACTCAAATAGTAATGTTAAAATACAAGAACAACATATACTAAGAATTTTTCATGTCTCATGTTACTTGTTCTAAGTTATTATAAGTGATGCAATTAAATACAGATGGCTAAAGTAAACCTGCATATTCTTATGGAAGAAAAATATTTTCTTAGCGTTACATGTTAGGAAAGATTTTGAACAAAATTTGCACGATTTGACTAAAACAAATTTGCAAGCAGAAAGTGGACAATTCTAATACAAACTAATACATTGCAAAAGCTATTTAATTATGATAGCTAACTTCATTTGAGAAATAGTTAACTTTGCTATAAAAACATATTTATTAACATATTTATAAAATCATGTTTATTAAGTTATTAAGATATATATTATGTTATTATTTAATTTAAAATATTTATTAAATGTATAGTATTTAATTCTATTTTAAAAAATAAAAATTTTCCTTCCTAGTTTTTTGTGCTACTAGTAGGTATATATAGTGGATTTCTCTAGGTTGAAAATGTATTTGATAAATATGTGAATTGTATGGTTTCTATTGGATTTGCACGCTAGTATTACAGATTTAAATCTTTATATAATAATAATTTCATCAGGTTTTGCAAAGCAATTGATTTTTGTTAAATGAAGTGTATATGTAAAATTTTTTGAAAGATTCATCCCTATGTTTAGTACACAACAGGATATCTTAGCCATATACATACACCTTGAGTCAGACAGTGTTTGAAAGCAGACAGTTTGCCTCCATGGTCTTTACTATTTAATCCCCCCACTCCGTCCTGTCGAGCCCTACTTATAGCCTAATAGGGGCAGATTCATGTTATGTCTTCAAATTAATTGTCTTTTTTTTTCTAATTGTCGTCTAATTGTCTTGTGATACTATATTGATTGAAAAATGGGATGAATCACGCTGCAATTGTTGTACTTTATGCAAATATCTTTGCGATATTCTATCTTACCCGGAAAACTGAAGATAACTTTAAAAAAAAATCTGTCACTTTTAAACACTGTCTGACCCAAGGTGCATGTATACAGCTGATAGATTCTTACACGTACTAAAAGTAGGGATGTGTTTTTCAAAATTTTTACATATAATTAATTGAAAAATCTGTTTAGTTAATAAGATTTTTATTGGTCACCATGTTTGAAGTAAAACAAGTGCGTAGTATACAGTACAGAAGTTAAACCGTTTTTTTGTTTTTTTAAATGACATATAAAGGCTGAATGAAACAAATAACATGGAGATAAATAAGGTGAAAAATCTGTTTCATTTTAAAACTTGATGAAAGAATTATCATATTACAAAAAAGTTTTGAGGTGACAATTATCCTTTAAAACAGACACCAGATGGCACAGGTAAAATGTGCTTATTTAATTAAAATAACCAAAATCAGATTTGCCTCTAGTAACTATTAAGATTGCAAATCCGGATGAAATTAAGTTACTTTAACAACATTTTGTCAATCCAGACCAAATTCATATCTTAGTAAATACCTCTAATAATACAGTAAAAATACATATATATTTTAGAAATGGATAATATGGCCTTGATTTATTAAGATTTCCAAATGATTTAACACTGTTAGAAAAACTTTCCAAATTTTATCACATGACAGGCTTCATATTTTGCATAACTTTCTTTACTTTATGCCCTCAGGAGCACAAGTCAATCAGAAAAAAACTTTAAACCAATCAGTAACAGGCATCACATCCATATATAAAGCCCTGACAGACACATGACTTCCTCTTTCTTTGCTGCTTACCAGCCAAGGCACAGGTCAGAGTATTTTGCTCCAAACTGTTTTACTGATATTGCAAATTGTCATTAGTTAAACATGTATTGCTTAACATTCAGTTGCTCCAAACTGTTTATTAATATTGCTATGGTCCCTCTAGTTAGACAACTTATGCTAGACATTCAGTTTTAATCCAAACTGGTTTTCTAGATATTGCAATGGTCACTTTAATTAAACTTTATTACTTGACTTTCAGTTTGCTCCAACTGTTTTTATTAATATTGCTATGGTCACTTTAGTTAGATTTTTAATGCTAGACATTCAGTTTTTGCTCCAAACTGTTTCTGGATATGCATGGCCACTTTAGTTAAACTTTATTAGCTTGTCCTGCATTTTTGACCTAAACGGTTTTCATTATTTTGCACTTGCCTTCCATTTGGACTTGTATAGTGTGATATTCTTCCCCTGTTACCCTTCCCCCGAATTAACCCTGTATTTTCTGCTTTATTAGCCAGTTTTTGTTGCTGGTACCTTTTCTTTCCTATGCTTTACTCTGGTCTCGCATGGATCGTGGCGTTTTACCGCGAGCATGCTTTTTTATTCACTGGTGCTGGGACTTCAGGGCAGGTCTCTGGGGGTTGGGAGGGTCGGGGGGACTCTGTTCCATACCGGCGGGCCGCGATCGTATACTTGATTGCGGGCCACACGGCGCTTTTGCGCGCGAATGGCGGCCATCTTGAATCTCGCGGCACTCGCGAGATTCACGTCGGCCATGTCGTTTAGCCAGTTCGTGGGAATCAGCTAGATCTGTACTGTTTAAAATATTTTTCCTGCGAAATAAAAGTTTTACAAGTACTTTTGAGCTCAATACTGTTACATATCATGGCATGTGGAATAAACATTTTATATGTACCTTTTCTGGAAAATTGTGAAAGGACTGTTCACTGCTGAGCTCTATACTGTCATATTTCATTGGCATGTGAAATAAATGTTTTATATGTAACTGCATGAATATGTAGGACTGATCCCTGCTGTGTGCATATAGTGCAGTACTCATGTCTGCTGGCAGTTTGCTCTTTTCTGTTCTATACAATTGACATGTTGAATAACAGTTTTATTGTACATCTGGAGGCTTATGAATGGACTGTTCCCTGCTGTGGGCATATAGTGGATGCATTACTCAATCTGCTGGCAGGGAAATTAAATAGAGCTGATAACTTACTCAGCTCCCTACTCCCACTGGACCTCACAACCACTGGATACACTCCTTCCCCACAGGGATACACCTCCCAGGAGACAGTAGTGGAGGAACATAACAGAGTAATTAACAGGGGTGACCCCCCTTACGCTGGGTGACCCCCAAGCATGGCAGACACCTCTCCAAAGTGACATTGTGGTACAGGGGAGGCCCCCCCTTACGCTGGGTGACCCGATCTGTTACTGTATGCACAGACCGGGACACACTGGATACATGTATATCGACAGAGCCAGGAAGGAGAGCTCACGGTGCTGCCAATTCTCCACAGTACTATATCCCATAAGGGTGACCCCTTGGATAATTTGGAGGCTACCATACCTCCCCATACACGGGCCACGTCCCGACGTTACTGACCGCTCATCCCGGTCTTATTGAGGGTGACCCCCTCCTCAAACCACTCCCAGGAAATCTCTAAGTGGTACTGATTGAAACAATTCTGGGTGACCCCCAGTCATACGTGGAGGCCCACTTAGTGGCAATAAGTGTACTACCATACCTGACACCTGTTCGGTACCCCACACACCGAAAGAGTGTCCCAACATGCCATAAGAGACAGGGGTGACCCCCCTACGCTGGGTGACCCCCAAGCGAGTCTTACTCCGGTGCGAGTCGCATACGTACAAAGGGGTGACCTCCCTGCTGGACGGGGTGGCCCCCCGCACCCTTTCTAGGGCTTCTACCTTCAGAGTATGCTCTGTCATTGTATGCACAGACCAGGGCGCACTAGATGCATGTTTTCCGGCACCTCTATGCTTCAACTGGGGGATCCGTACGCCCTTCCCTTAACCCAGAAGGAGAACTCACAGTGCTGCCAAAACTCCACAATTCTAGGCCATATAAGGATGACCCACTTGGATTATACATATTGAGGCTTTCACGTCTCCCATACTTGGGCTACGTCCCGACATTGCAGACCGCTCATCCCGGTCTTACTGAGGGTGTCCTCATTCTCAGACCACTCCCCGGATCCTGCGAAAGTGGTAATGATTGATCAAAATTCTGGGTGACCCCAGTTATACGTGGAGGCCCACTGAGTGGCAATAAGTGTACTGTTGTATGACCCTGTCTCCCACAGAATGAAAGGGTGTGAACCAACATGTCGGACTTCCCTCAATATCCCCGACCGATTTTCAGGCGAGGTTTAAGGCGGCCATGGCAGCTTCGGGGGAAGAAGTCCTCGCCAATATGCTGGCTAACAACCCATCCGGCAGGGCGGGTGCAACGGCACCAACACCAATGGAAGCTAGAGATACCGACAATGTTAAGTCGGACACCTTATCATCTAAACACCATTGGAAGGGCTCAACGCGGCTTCTCCAAAGGGGAAAGGGAACACCCCGATTTAGCGGAGCCGTCTCTCAGAACGTCCTGTCCATTAACCATCTCAGGCTCCATCATCAGGGGACGAGGACTTCATCCCTCCCCATGAAAGAATGGAGAGCAGAAGAGTCTCCATCTGAAGAGGTAAAGTGACAAGACCCGCCTAGCAAGAAAGGCTTTTCTTTGGCACACTGGACACTCTTGTTTTGACTCACACACCATCCGACACCCAGGGTCATCCGAATGGGGTTTACTGGAGCACTGGGCACACTTTACCCACTTCTGGCTCAGGAGGCCTATGGGAAAAGAAGTCAGAGACAAGCTCAGGGGAATGCCCACGCCCTCTATTACCAAACAAGATAGTCCTCACCATGGAGTTCGGTATCACTGTGGTGATATTTATGTCCCGATCAGGCCGGGGTCCATGTAAAGGTGTAGGAGAAGGACTCAAAATGAGTTAGGGTGAAATACTGGACATGATCAGCCCCAGGAAAAAATTCTATGCTTTGCGGACCTGACCCCACCCAAGACTCACCTCTAGAAGCTCACGATGTGAGGGAATGGATGCAAAGGGTAATATGTAGGTTGGGGAACGCACGGCAGACAGGTGCACAGAACGGCGCAAAGCAGCCCGATTAAAGATGGATTTCAAACTACTGAAGTTAGGGATGAAAAAGCGAGGACCTCAGGCGGACAGACTATTGTTTGGAGAACCATTTATCTCAGCAACGGTTTGGTAGTAAGGAAGAAGACAGGAGACTATCGCCCAGTCATCAACCTACGCCAACCCAATGGTTTTGGGGCATACGGACACCTCAAGAAGGAAGGTATCCATCTCTTAGGGGATCTACTCCTCGAAAGGGGTTCGCAAGGTTGGATTTGAAGGGCACTTACCTACTGGTTCACATGGTGCCTCATGAAGTCTCTGAAGCCGGTCACGATGCTCTGTAGAGCAAAGGGTATCCGCTATCGCATACCTAGACGACTTACTGACCTTTTGCAAATCCAATTCCTGACTACGTTTACAGACGAGATTTATGTTTACAGTTTCGGGAATTGTTGGGATTCATAGTGAACAGAGAGGAGTCGGTTCGATCCTAGTTCCTAGTGATTCAGTTCCTCTACTTCGGAATAGATTCCACCTTGGGCTGATTCCACCTTCCACATTGATAGCGACGATTCGTAAGGAAATTCGACGGGTACGACGGAAAGGCACCATAACCCTTTGACTATTTACTGCCTGGGATTCGGACACACCTATGAAATTGGGATCAGAATAGCGAAGACTTCGATAGTACTCATTACCGCGGTAAAGGAGTCAAGCGTGGCACCCAGAATGGTTGTCCTTAAATCAGGATCATCCTCTTCTCCTTCAGTTTTAACTTGCCTTAGGGCAGATCGAAAAGGAGAACATCATCCATTGATAATGCAGGAGCGTCTGGAATTGGTGGATTGGTGTCTTTCAGGGGAGACTGGTACTTCAAGGGACTATCGCAACCAACTAGAGACCTATTATGGGACACCAGGTATTCCCCGAAATAAGTTATCCGCATGGAACACCTGGAGTCGCTGGTGTATGGGAAGGGACTTCGATCCCTTTATTACCTCTATCTCCTCGATGTTGAATCTTTATCATACCTTTTCGCTACGGGCTGATCAGACCGTTCCATTAACGGGATACGTTCCACGATTTCGACGACGCATAGTACGATTAACGACACTCTGGTCAATCAGGAGCCTTTGATATGCCACTTTCTGCGGGGTATCAAACTGTCCAGAACCATGCGTCAAAGTATCACTGTTGTGGGACTTTGATTTGGTTCTTTTGGAACTAGTCAGATAACACGGACCTATCCCTCTGTCAGCCATCAGCCACAGTCTTTTCGGTATCACCGGAAGGAATGATTTCTACGGTGTCTCTTAGAACTAAATCTTATCCGCGTCCATATCTTACCCTGTTCCCGGCGCTTTCCCAGTCTTTGTGCAGTTAAAGCGGTACCTCGTTAAATGGAGATCACAACAACACTTAGATTGTCACATTCAGGACATCTGCTGGTCTTATACCAACCACACAAGCCAGTTACCATGAACACTCTGTCTAGATGGGTTCATTGGTTGTTATCGCTAGCGGGGGTGGAGACGTGTTTTGGGTACTCATTCGGTATGAGGCGCGGCTGCTTCTCAGGCCTTCACGGGGGGGCCTCTATATTTTACAGCGACGAATTGGACATGGATAGACTACTTCCGTATATTTATTTTCGTCAACCACACACGCATCCTTCTCGCTCATACCACAGCTTTAAAAAATGCAAAATATGAAGCCTCCTTTCATGTGATAAAATTGTAGATTATGCTAACATAGTGTACCTATAATCTTAATTTTAATAATGACAGGAGGCGAATATTTTCCCTCCCTGTTTCCCTCCCTATACTCTGGAAAACTTTAATATTCTGGTTTGTCACTTTCTCAGTGTAATTATAAGGTTTTGGTATTTCAGTATATTTATGGGATGCTTATCTGGTTGACATGTGTTAGATCCGTGTTGATTATTAAGTATACTATGGTTGTTTAATGTTTCAGTATATTAACTTAATATAAATATAGATACGTATAGTACTGGATTTAATGTGGACAACAGTTGGTTTTCCCGCGTAATCATCATAGATGGATTCGACAAGATAAAGCTGGAAGGTTTCTAGTTTCGTTTCAAGTTATGTGCTACACGTTACTCAGGACTGTTATTTGAATTCTCTGACGTTATAATAGACTGTTTTTCAAATCAAAGAAAGAGGAAGTCATGTGTCTGTCAGGGCTTTATATATGGATGTGATGCCTGTTACGGATTGGTTTAAAGTTTTTTTTCTGATTGACTTGTGCTGCTGGAGGCATAAAGTAAAGAAAGTTATGCAAAATATTCGCCTCCTGTCCTTATTAAAATTAAGATTATAGGTACACTATGTTAGCATAAACTACAGTTATTATTCTACAGAAGATACCATTAATGTCTATGGTGAGGTTTTTCTAACAGTATTGAATAATTTGGAAAATGTATTAAATCGAGGCCATCATTAGGTATCAGTCAGTACTAGAAATAGAGGAGGAAATAAGTGAAAAGGCATCCATTCTAGAAAATAGGTAATGAGTGAAGTATTGCTGAGACTTTTCAATCTTGGTAACAGAAAAAGGGGCAAGTATTAAGAAGAATCATATCAAGCAGCTGGAAAACATTAAATTCAAGGACTCTATTAAATATTTTTGAACAAACTTTTCAAATTATTTACAATTTTTGGTTAAACTTTTAAAATATGTGCTTCCATACAAAATGGGTAGCGTGCACAGACCGAA